TAGATTTTGTATTTTCTTCTCCAATTGGCCAATTGTATTTTTAAGGGATTTTTTTTCTTCAGTGTACTTTTTTTCCAGTTGGTCAATTATGTTTTTTAGGGACTTGTTTTCTTCAGTGTACTTTTTTTCCAATTGGCCAATTGTATTTTTGAAGGACTCCTCTACCTCTCTCATTTGACTTTTAAAATCCTTCTTGAGCTCTTCTAAGAAGGCTTTTTGGGCTTCAGGCCAGTTCATATTCCCTTTTGATGTTGCCCGTGTGGGTTTGTTGACAATGTTGTCCTCTTCAGAATTTCTGTCTTGATCTTCACTCTTCTCATAATATGAATCTATTGTACTTTTCTTTTTACTCATTGTGTTTCTTTATTCCCTGGCCTTTAAAGAGATTAAGCTCTCCTGCTGGGGAGCAGAGGGCACTGACCCAAGCTTCTTGTGTTGGGAGCCTAGGTCTTGGTCACTGGCTTTGTGTGCTGGGGTCTCTTATGTTGGCAATTGGAGGCTGTAGGGTTCTGGCAGCTTAACCTGGTGTTGGGCTGGAATCAAGAAGGCTGGGACTTTCAGACAAATCTAGGTTACCTGCTTTTCCTTTCCTTTAGCTTTCTTCAGCTCCTTTTAGATGGTTGCTGCCGGATGTTTATCTGCCTGGGGCCTCTTGCAGTGCTGCCTCCCTTAGTTCTGTTGAGGCACTGGGAAACTCCTTTGCTGTAGAATGCTGAGGCACCTGGTGGTTTTCTGAGCTGGTTTCCACCAGTTCCCCTGCCCTCACTGAGGCACTCGGAGGTCCAGCTGTTGGTGTTTGCCTGCTCGACCACCTGGGCTTTAGGATCTCCTCCTGCTTGGCAGTTGAAGGCTGTAGGGTTCTGATAGCTTACCTGGTGTTGGGCTGGAATCAGCAAGGCTGGAACTTTCAGGGAACTCTAGGTTGTTTTCTTCAGCTCCTTTCAGATGAATGCTGCAGGGTGCTTATCCTCCTGGGGCCATTTGTAGTGCTACTTCCCTTATTTTTGCTGAGGCACTGAGACCCGTTTGCTGTAGAATGCCGAGGCACTGGGATCTCCTCCTGGTGTGCTAAAGTGGGTCTTTCCACTTTCTGGCTGGGTGTCTCCCGTTCTGTACTTCTCCCCTTCTCCCAGGATAAGAGGGCCCTTTCCCGTTAATACCTCTAGCTACCTGAGCTACTGCATTTCTGCTACCCATCTTTCTTCTGGTTCAGCTGTTCCAGGGTTTTTTTCTGGGGTGATATTTTCTGGGTTTTCAGAGGTTGATAGGGGAGGGTGAGAGTGACTACCTTTTTACTCCGCCATCTTGGCTCCCAGAAGCATGTCCCCTCTTTTTTTCTAGGAGCTGGAATTAAAATTTTTTAATTTTATTACTTGTGTAATCCTTGATAGCTATGTTTAGTTCTTTCCTGTGTTTCTGTTGCCTGTAGTATTTGCAAAGCAAAAAGAGAAAAAACAGAAACAAAAAAACAAACTCTAGAAATTGGAGAAATGTTTCAAATGCCTCTGACTCTTACTGAATGTTTGTTTTCCATTGGTAAGTGGGATTAGGCTTACAGGGTTTGTTGAGCTGGATTGCATCATGAGCTACTTTCCTCTTCAGGACACGATTCCAATCCCTTCTGAGGTTTCGGGTGAGTAGAGAATAATCTTGCTATTTGAGCTTCTTTTCCTTTATAGCTGAACTTATTTCCCCAGTCATTTGCAGAACTTTTTATGTTTGCCATTGGAATTGTTAAATTTAACCACTATGTGTCTTGGAGATTGTAGCACAGGACTTTTTTCCGGAGGTGATTTGTGAATTCTTTCAATTGACACTTTGTTTTCTATGTTCCTCTACTATTTCTTTCATTATGGTGTTCAAGAACCATTGACTTCTCATCCTTAAGTTGTCTCTATACATCCTATCTTTGAGACCAATAGGTTTTCCTTTCATGGAAATCATATTCTTTGAATGTCATTATTTTTTATCTTCTCATCTTCTAGATTATCTTTCCTTTCTGTGTATTCGTATTCCTGATCAGTTCTCTTTTTTGTTTCTTTGTAGAAACTCATCACTGTGGAGTCAGACTTTTTTCTTTTCTGCCAAGTTTCTGTTATGCAGGCTAAAAATTCTGCTTTTACAATTCACCCTCCTGTAATGACTCTTGGAGTGGTCCTATCCTGTCTGAACCCAACTGAATCTCTTAGATGGGTAATTTTTAAGCTTTTTCTGTTTTATTCCCCTACTATGTGCCAGGTACAATGCACAGATGAAGATACAAGGAAAGGCAAGACAGTCCAACATGTTAACAACTATTTACAAACAAGCTACAAATAGGATACATTGGAAGTAATCAATAAAGGGAAGACACTAGATCTCAGGGAGATCAGGAAAGGATGCTTGTGGGATTCTTGTGGGAATACAGAGGACTTGTGAATGGCACATTCACAACGACTTGTGGTGGCACCCAGTCAGAGCCTTGTAACTTGTCACATTCACCACCACACCGGCCACAGGTGTCCAGAAGGGTGGATGCAGTCCATTCCTGAGCCCAATTTGTTTCTGTGAATGTGTGCAAGGCGCTCTGCATTCCAGTGGCACTGGCCGCATTGCTGTTTATTCCACAAAATCAGAGACTGTCCACGCTTCAAATACTCTCCTTTCTCATCTCTCCCTTCTGGCTTCTCTGATTTCCTTCAAGTCACAACTGAAATCTGATCTTGTATAAGAAGCCTTTCACCGGCTCTTAGCACTGTGGTGTAAAAAAGTGAAGAAAAAAGAAGAAAAGAAAGAGAAGGCAAAAGAAACAGGAAAGGAGGAGAAAAGGAAGAAGAAAACATATATTTAAAAAATAAAATACACAGAAGAGAGCTGAAAGAAATTTAGAAGAGGACAGAGACAAGCAGGGCAGCTTTCTTAATATTTTGTTCAATTTAATACTCATTAAAACTTCATAATAAAAGTTCATATTTCATTTAGGATCTTTTTTCTCTCCTTTGCATATTAAAATATTCACATGGTTGATGTTGGTCAAGTTTGATAATAAAGAAAATAAAAAATAAAGCAATTACAGGTTTCTTCAATATGGAAGAAAAGATTTGTAGAGTTCAGAATGCTCTCAATCTACAAAGCTGAGTGGGGTTTGGATAAATTAAGTCTGAACTTACTCCCCTAACTCCCTTACTTACATAATCGTAAACTGCTGGTCTTGTGCCTCAACATGGCAGGATAAGGAGCTTGTTCCTACTGGATCCATTAGGACTGACTTGATCTATTTTGTCATTTCCCAGTTTGGAGATAGAATTTGTCAGACATGGAAATTCTAAAAATTTCTTTGTTCTCTGCAGATATGGATGACTGTGTGATGGGCTCGGATCATTATCCTGATGAAGACAGAGATCATTGCTTCCCCAAAGTAATGTCCTTCCTCCACTTTGAAGACATTTTGGGATTCACTCTGACCTACATAGCTTTTTCCTTTTCACTGCTCGCAACCCTAATTCTCATAGTCTTGGCACAGAATTGAGATACTCCTACTGTCAAAGCCAATAGTCGAGCTCTCAGCTACACTCTCCTTATTCCCCTTACACTCTGCTTCCTCTACTCTTTGATCTTCATTGATCATCCACCCTCAGCAACCTGGGCTATTTCTTCCAATTTGATTAAACCATCACTGTGGTTCTGGCCTTCAAGGCCACAAGACCAGGCGGCAGGATCAGGAGGTGGATGGGTCCTAAAGGGTCCACTTCTGTTATTCTCTTTCACTTTGGGATCCAAGCGATTCCCTGTGACATCTGTTTGGTGACCTTTCCTCCATTTCCAGAAACAGAAGTTCATTCTGAACCCAGTCATATCATCATCGAGTGTAATGTGGGCTCCATCATTGCCCTCTGCTGTGTCCTGGGCTACGTGGGGTTCCTGGCCTCGGGGAGCTTCATAGTGGCTTTTCTTTCCAGGAAACTTCCTGAGCCCTTCAAGGAAGCCAAATTCACCACCGTCAGTATGCTGGTGTTCTTCAGCGTCTGGGAGTTTCCCCATCTGTTAGAGCGTCGAAGGGAAAGTAGTGGTGGTTGTGGGAATTTTCTCCATCTTGGCTTCCAGGGCCAGTTTATTAGTCTGCATCATTAGTCCTCCAGTGCCCTGTGATCTGCTGAGGCCAGAAAGGAACATGTGGGAATAGGTAAAGAACAATGGAAGCCAGAAGATTAACAAGAGAAATGCAAGTCAAACAACTCTGACAGTGTACAAAGATGGAACTATATTGGAAGGTTTATGGGAAGAAAGACAGACCTATACACCATCAGTGGAGTTGAGAATTGGTCCACCCATCTTGGAAAAAGATTATAATTATGCAGGAAAAGTAAAGGAATTGTTCATGTCTTTTTATCTGATTATTTCTGGGCCCATGTCAAAAGGAGGAAGAAAATACAGGGAGAGAGTATATAAAGTCCTGTTTGACTTTTAAAGAAAGTCCTTTAAAGCCTGTCCCCTTCCTGTCTTCCCACTCTTTTCACCCCTTCTCTACTCCAGTTGCATTCTGCAACTCAGTATGTGGATCTGACCTGCGTGCTGTTCTTTTCACAAGACACTGCATCTCATGACTATGCATTTTCACTGACCGTTCTCTATGCCTGGAACTCTATCTCCTTGTCTTTATGTGCTGGATTCCCTGGCATCCTTCGAGTCTCAGCTAAACTCCTACCTTTTGAAAGAAACCATTCCCAATCCCCCTTAATGCAAATGCCTGCCCCCTGAGATTATCCCCAATAAATCCTGGTACTTGTTTGCACATAATTGTTTACATGTTGTCTCCCCTATTAGACTGTGAGCTCCTTGAGGACAAGGACTGTTTTTGCCTTTTTCTTTTTTTTTTTGTATCTCCAGCACTTAGCACAGTGCTTGGCATATAGTGTATGCATAAGAAATGCTTGTTGACTGACTTGACAGCAACACTTTTTGTGGTTAGCAAAATCTGGAAATAAAACAAACGCCCATTGATTGGGGAATGACAAAACATGTGAAATATGAATGGATGTTTATTGTGCTATTAGAAATGACTAACATCAAGAAATGAGAGATATATGGAATGACTGTATGAATTGATGCCATGAAACAATGCAAATCAGCCCAACAATGTGTGTGTGTGTGTGTGTGTGTGTGTGTGTGTGTGTGTGTGTATGAGATACAGATTGTCATAGTGGTCAAGCATGTTCAGGAGCCCAAATCTGGGGGAAAAATTGATCCATGAATGTCTGGACACTCTGTTGCATTTCACAGTGTCCTTTCCCCCCACATTTTTTGTTCCATAAATAGTCTTTCTTACTCCCCCAAAACCATGTTTCCCTGGAATATGACTTGATTCACTGAATCTCTTCATCGTAGTTCCTGCAGTGCAACAGTCACAGACTAGGAAGTTATCTTGGCTGTCCTGTGAAGGGACTTGAGCGTATAATCATATGTCATTTTGGACAATTAAAAAATGAACTAGGCACAAACCAGAAATAGATAAATTGCCCTTGATTAGATTCAGCTCTCCTGGGAGTGAAGCACATCTAAGCGATCAAAGAGTCTTGGGAGAAGAACAGGCCAATGTGGATCTCAAGCAGTGTCACTTTTCTTTATTCCATTCCCAAGGAAGGGTACAATAACAACACACATGACTCGTCATCCTAGTCGCCAGTTCCCTCCAAACTTAGCTGTTTTTTTAGTCCTACCCAGAGAAGCTGAGCTCCACATCGCAATGGTGTTTATCCAAGGGACAGTTTTTCCCAACTTCTATTCAAAAGGTGGTGTCTCTTTCAAGGGCTTGTAGATGTTGACCTAAAAAGAACAAGGAAAATATATTACTATTTCCTCTTTTCAGATTAGGATGTTAGGGTTACAAAAGGGTTAGGACTATAGGTCCCATTATGCATATGGAGAGTTTTCATCATCATCGTCATCATCATTGTCATCATCATCGTCAAAAGTGACAATAACAACAGCTAGCTTTTATATAGTACTTTAAAGTTTGCAAAGTCCTTTAAGCGAAGTTTAAAGCAAAGTGGAAGAAGACTGGAAAGGTTGAAAGGCCCAAGTCATTAAGAGCTTTAAATATTTGACTTTATATCTGACCCTGGAGGTAATACTTCCCTATTATCGGAGTTTATGAAATATGTTGTTGTTGTTATTGTTGTTGTTCAGTCATTTCAGTCATGTCCATCTCTTTGTGACCCCGTTTGGGGTTCTCTTGGCATTGATACTAGACTGGTTTGCCATTTCCTTCTCCAGTTCATTTTACAGATGAGGAAACTCAGGCAAATAGGATTAAGTGACTTGCCTAGGGTTACACAGCTTATAAGCATTTGAGGCTGGATTTGAACTCGGGAAAATGAGGCCTGGAGATCTATCTACTGTGCCAACTAGCCCAACCTCATGAAATATATAGGCTCCAAATGTAAATGTCATACCATAACCACAACCACCACAACCACAACAAAAATAGACAGGAATGAAGGTGGAACCATAGGAGAGGAGGTTTTTTTTTTTTAATGCAGGGAATAAAGAAGGTTACAAAAGGCAAAATAAAAATTTAAAATCTCATGCAGGAACAAAATCAATGCAATTATAATAAAAAGAGAAACTGCCATTAGGAACAAATTTTCACCTAAACATCCGCATAAAATTTAGATATTCAAGATATATAGAAACTATGCTGAATGAGCAAATATTAATTAAGCACCTACTATGTACCAGGCACTGGAGATACAAATACAAAAGTAATCAACAGTCCTTGTTCTCAAGAATCTTAGATTCTAATGGACCCAAATAGGTCATTCTAAGTCTAACCCTAGGCATGACCCTAACCCTGATGTAATGGTGTTATGATTAGAGTGGGTTCAAGCCCTGCCTCTAGCACATAGTGGCTACATGACTATGGACAAGTCATTTAAGCTTTTGGTGTTGGAGGCAACACTCTAACACTCTAAATTGCAGAACAGAGGCCAGTTGCACTCATAGGGGGCATTTTCTCACCAGGAGTGCCTTACAACAATGAACTGACAAGCTGAGACTGAAGAAGATAAAGAAGTCTTTCCTAAAAGGTTAGAGGAACAAACATGCACATAATGAACACCTGTATGGTCAATAGCCTGTGTTGTAGATCTTGAGTAACTCACATTGTAGAGCTGCAGGCTCTGTTATCACACCAAAGTTTTCCTTCTAGATATATTTAGGAAATGATAAAACCTCATGTCTTCCAACTCCAGCTGTGCTTCTCCAGTTGGTCTGGGTAGTACTAGAAAAGGGACTAACTGTTTCTCCAAAGACGTGGACCTGAAAGCCCAGCCAAGTACAGTCTGGACATGAAGCACTTTGTATCTTGTATCTCTATACCAAACTCAGCCCTGACATGGGCTTCCCAATGCCCAGGCATAAACTCTCAGCATGCTTCTCAACCCCTTGACTAGAGCAGCTCTGTAATCTCCCATGCTTGCTCCTGATCACAGAGGTGTCATGGAGCTTTCAAACTGACTCCTAAAGCTACACACAGAACATGAACATTTGCTGCCCACTCACTTGTAGAATTTCTGTTCCTGTTCCTCTCTTCTGGGGTTGCCAAGGCATCCCCTTTGTTAATCCAGAAAATGGGACATGGTTCAGGCTCAGAGACTTCTTCAGCAACTTCAGAACCAGATCCCGGAGCACCACTTAAGCCATTAGGAGTCTCTGAAAGGATTAAAATGTTTAATAAGAATGATGAAAAGCCTCCTTCCCTCCCTGTAGAGTGAATGAACAACTTAGAACAACTAAGGAAATCTCCTATTATAGATCTAATGAGGCTCTGATCCTGTAGACAAAGGTGAATGCAAGGAGGCTCAGTGGTGGGGCTGGGAGAAGTTGGAGTCAGATTATAGAGAGGTGTCTTTAATTAAAAACTTTTCCAAAGACCTGAAAAGGTGCTTGGCAGCTTCATCATCAGTGGCTCCTCAAAGATCTCTATCAAAAATGACATCCTCATTTCCCCCATTTGCATCTTATCTTAGACTAGCCGGCCCAGTTGACTGTGCAATCTCCTCACAGTAGCCTCAGGGATACTCAGGTCATTGCTGAATGTGCAGCCCTGCTCAGGAAGACCAAATTACAGGGTGAAAACAGTAGGCAGGATACTTGGAGAACATGGGGTCAGTTTGATGTCCCAGGTGTGGTGGTAGGTGAAGAAAGAAGAAAACCATTGCCCACTTGGAGGGGAGACCCAGAGAAAAAGGGATGTGAGGGGCTCCTCTCAAGCTTTGCTTGCTGCATAATTCTGAAAAGGACTTTAGATATCATGGGTACAGGAATGTCTATGCTATTAGTTTGGAGAATTTAAATTTTCCTTAGCTCAAAATTCAGCTTTCCAGTTTCCATAAGAAATAGGAAAAACAGGAGGGTGGAGCCAAGATGGTGGAGAGAAGGTGGGACTCACCGGAGGTCTCCCCCAAATCCCTCTAAACAATTTTAAATAATGCCTCAAAACAAATTCTGGAGTGGCAGAACACACAAAAGGATGGAGTGAAAAATTTTCTAGACTAAGATAATTTAGAAGGTTGGCAGGAAAGTTCTGTTGCACCAAGGTGAGAGTGGAGCACAGTCCAGTACAAGCCATACCCCAGCACACTGACCAATAGCCTTTGGGATAACTGAATCAATAGTGGTAGTGGTGGTTTCCACACCTCTCAGCCTGCAGACAATTGGTCAAAAGGAGATTAGCAGCAGGGGCAAGATGCTGTTGCATTGCTCGTATTTGAATCTGGGTCACAGTCCTGGGTCTCAGTCCCAGGGCAAGGAGGAGCACTAGCACACTAGAGCTTGTGTCCACAAGGGAGTGGGGACCATGATCACAGTCCCAGAGTAGAAGAGTGCTTGTGGTCACTCACAGACAAGAGCACAGTCCAGGAGAGTAGTGAACACACTTCTCCCTAGATCATACTACCTTAGAAGAATCAAGAACTTACAGGTGCCCACAATTATCTCTGGAAACAGCTAAAACCTGAAACTTGAAACAGTGTCCACACCACTCCAGAAGTAGAGCCTCACATAAGAATAGAGTTAAAGCAAAGAAGTAGGCTAGAAAATGTCCAAAGGGCTATGAAACTGTGTATACCCTTGATCCAGCAATACCACATTAGGTCTGTATCTCAAAGAGATCATTAAAAAGAGGAAAGAAGGGGGCAGATACGTGGTACAGTGGATAGAGCACCTGCCCTGAAGTCAGGAGGACCTGAGTTCCAATCTGGCCTCAGACTAAACACTTGACACTTACTAGCTGTGTGACCCTGGGCAAGTCACTTAACCCCAATTGCCTAAATAAAAAAAAAAAGACAAACAAAAAAGAAGGGGAAAGGACCCACATGTACAAAAATATTTCTAGCAGTTCTTTTTGTGGTGGCAAAGAATTTGCAATTGAGGGGATGCCCATCAATTGGGGAATGGCTGAACAAGTTGTGGTATATGAATGTAATGGAATATTATTGTGCTATAAGAAATAATGAGAAGGTGAATTTCAGAAAAAAACTTAAGATTTACATGAACTGATGCAGAGTGAAGTGATCAGAACCAGGAGAACACTGTACACAGTAACAGCAACACTGTGTGATGATCACCTACGATAGACTTAGTTCTCAGCAATATAGTGATCCAAGACAATTTCGAAAGACTCAAGATGGAAAATGCTTTCCATATCCAATGAAGGAACTATAGAGTCTGAATGCAGATTGATATAAGTGATATATCACTAAGATTCAGTGAAGAAGAGTGGGAGATATTCTTGAGTGATCTCAAGATCCTTTATAAGGCAAACTTCTCAGCTGAGAAGACAGGGGCAGGAGTTAGGAGGAGCCAGGGAAGGGCTAAGAAGGGATGAAATAACTGACATTTCTCTAACACTTTAAGATGGGCAAAGTGCTTTGCCTACACTGTCATGTGATATATGAATGAGATATTGTATGTAAAGGACTTTGTGAACCTCAAAGCACTATACAAGTATTCCAGCATAGTACAGAAGATAGGACCCTGGGCTTGGAGTAAAAAGACCTGGGTTCAAATCCCACTCTAGACACCTACAAGCTGTGTTACTGTAGGCAAGTCACTTAACCTGTCTGAGCTTCAGTATATTCATTTGTAAAATTCAGGAGTTGGATCTGAGGGTTTTTAAGATCCTTTTAAGCTCTAAATCTATGATACCATGATCCTATAAAGATCAGTTATTAGAAGGAACAAAGGGAGTTTAATTCTATGGCTTCCTATGAGGTCATTGGAGCTTCATCAAAGTCAGAATATGGGGCCAGATGAACTGTGGGCCAGCCCCAGGATGGTTGTTCTTGGGTATGAGTCATTTCAAGTAGATCTTTTCAGGGATTTACTCCTTCCTGTAGATATAGTTTATTCTCTATTGGGCATTTAGAGGCCAATCTCATCATGGGAGGCCCCTCCAACTGAGCAAAAGGCCCCTGAGCCTCACAGACCTGGGTGGTTGAATAGATGTAGGTCTTCATCCTCCTTCTGGTGAACATTCATCTTCTTGTAAATAGCTTCCTGAAGAAGATTTCCTACTTGGGAAAAGCATGAGAACAGAGAGGTCTCAGGCTAAGGGGTCACATCTTGACATCCCAACTCTTGCCATCCTCATCACTACTTCCCCAGATGGATCAATATCCCTCTCATTAAATGAAGACTCCCATTTTCTTAGCTTGACATGTATTCACAACCCTAAGGGTATTTCTTCATCTTCCCCATGGTCTATCTACTTTCCAGATTCTTTTCCCAGATATGATACTTCTTTGGAATTCCACATTTGTTTACAAGACTTCCAGTTGTGTCTTATGTCCTCCTTCTCTTGTATGTCAGCCCTTGGCCACCTGTCCTTCATTAGCCTATCTTAGGATACTCAGGAGAGGTCAACAGGTCATATATTCACGCCAAACCCTGCCAATTATGTATACTGAAACAATTGAGCTGACACATTGGCTCCATCAGGTGCCCTTCCTCAAGTTCTGGGGTAGGGATCCCTTAAAGAGATCAATTCACTCTGTCCTGGTAGGTTTCACCACACTGGAAACTCTCACCCCAAACCTGAGGCCCCACCCTTAGGCCCTGATCATCTGAAGATGAGTGTCCTGTCCTAGAGAACCCAGTGCCACTAGGCCTCCTGAGCCACAGGCTAATGGGGTTCACACCTCTGACTTGGTAAGTCCATCTTCTAGCCTTGGACCGCAGGAAGAGAACAAGCAGGAACAGTACTATCAGGATGACCCCAAGGATCCAGAACAACCTGAAGGCTTTGTGACCTATGAAAGAGATACGCAATGACTTGGTTTCCTGCTGAAATGCCATGGGCTCTCTGTCCCTGATCCTCTTATGATGTCCAATGAGCTAAAGGCCAGTCAATACATCCAGATAAAGACATTGGGATCCTCATGGAATTCCAAATGCACTTGTTGGCTCATTATCGACTACTATCTGGCACCTAAATCCCCTGTCTCTTCAATGCATTAGGTCCTTCAGTAATGTCCAAGCACAGGTGAGGGATTGGAAATGGGTCTATTTCAGGGAAAGCACCAATAGCCTAGTGGTGGGGAATAGAGAGGTCCTGTGCTTCTCCTTACAGAAAGGTTGTCAGAAGAACTAAAGCTGCTCAAACAGTGAGAAGCAGGTCATTGGGGCCATTTCCAGATGGGTGTGTATCTGAGGGATATTCTTGCATCCCCAATACCTGAATAGGATTTATCAGAGATTGGTCTAGGAGAGTGGAACAGTCTCAGAAGATGGCGGGGTGTGTGGGGGGGAGTCACACAGAGGCAGACCTGGCTTGCTCTTCACTGAGCTGCCCCCATACAAGTTATTGGAGCCCCCTCCCTCCTGTTAACTTCATCATAGTGACCTCATGGATAGGGGAGTTGTACCTGAGGATTCCTGAGGTTCTGCAGTCATGGGAACACCTGGAGGAGGAAGGAGGAGGCCAGTTGTATTCTGGGCGCAGGAAACAAGGTTCTAGGCCACTTCCTGCCTGGCTCAGTCCCACTGTCACCTTCCCAAGTCCCCCTTTCTGCACGTATCAGAATCTCCTCATCTCCCTCCATCAGGACTGGGAGGTATTAAGATAATAGGATCGAAGTCAGAGTGTGATCACAGACTTCGGCAGCAGTAACCAATGCCTTTCATTCCTTCTACCAGTTTGTCTCCCCACTACCCCAAGCCATTATGACATAGTCTCCAGTGGCCAGGTTGCTAGCCTCAGCCTAGGTTCTCAGACCCTTACCTGAGCACCTCACACCAGCATCTTCTTTGTGCCCACAATCTGTCTGCCCCCAGGGATCAGCAATACAGTTCCAAAGAGAGGACTCATTTCCTTTGCAATGAATATTATTCAGCCAGATGGGCCCAATTCCTCGGCCGAATGCAGCCTCTCCTGGGGCACCCAAGGCTGAGCCACAGCCCAGTTGTTGACAGGCCACCTCAGCATCAGCCAGATCCCAGGAGTCATCACATACTGTGCCCCAGGAGCCTTCATGCCAGACCTCCACACGTCCTGAGCACTTGTCTCCTCCTTGGACTCTTATCTTGCCTAGAAATGCAAAAGCATTGCTTGTTCCACATTCGACAGGAAAAGAAGTCCCCTAACCCACAAATCCCAAGTGAGAGGAGAAGCCATGGGCTGTCATTGTGACAAAAGACACAATCATCGCCTATGCCTCCTGGCTTTGGACATTTGGAATAAGAATACACGTCAAAGACAAAACCTGTTTTCTTCTTTGGCAGTATATTGGATAAAAAGGAAGGTAGGGATATGTGCCTTCACCACCCAGAAGCTGCTTGGCATCTGAGAGGAATCCTATCCACCGCTGGTGTCTGATGCAGGTTCTCTCCGCCTGGTGGGCTTAAGTAGTGATAGAACATTCTTTCTCTCTGTAGCATCTACAGATCCAAACACCTCTTGGCCTCACTCATCTATGACGGAATTAGACAGTTTCTAGAGATTAAGTAGTACTACTTTGGCCAGGAGAAAGCAACCTACACCCTAATTGGGTGGTTTGATTCTCTATGGAGGCAACCACAAAGTAACCTCCAGATTATTATTCCTCTCTGAGCCTCAGTTTCCTCATATGCAAAATGAGGGAGTTATACTGAATGAATTCCAAGACATTTTCATTATTCATTCTCATCCCAGATTCTAATCAAAGTACATATTCTGCTATTAATGACAAATTGTAACATTTCTCTGATTAATTAAACAATTAGCTCTTAACCCCATGAAATGTAGAAACTCTCTGTCTCTGGGCCTCCCTAAATTTAAATAAGCACAAGGTTATTGACTATTTTAGTAACAGTGTAACAAAATGAAAGAAAACCATAAATAATTATTTATAATGTAATCACATATGAAAAAGACCACAGCTGAAGTCACCTTTAAGCATCATTACAACCACTGACTTCTCAATTCTGGAAACACAGTCCCACCACTCATTTCTCTCAGGGTACCAACTGAAGTCTCTTCTCAAGAATTTTCTTCATATTTCCTTCCAAGAAAAGCATTAAACCCAATCCTGTCAGGAAATAAGTTCTCTTAGTCCTTTTACTTATTCCTTTCTTTAGTCATCACATTAATAGTTTAAACTTTCAGTCTTCTCATAGATTCCTCATAGAATGACAGTTAAACTGTCTCTCTAAGATTCTATTCCCTCTTAAAGATACCGTAACAGTTTCTACATTCTTTGTGGAAGAAACTATTGAAGCTGATGTTACATATCATCCTAGATATCTTCCTCTCAGATTCCTTCTAACTTCTTATACTAACTGACATTGAACTTTCTCCTGAAGGCTTCACATCCCTTGGATCACTCTACTTTAAAAAAAATCATTTTAAAAAATGAACATCTATTTTCTCTCCCTTCCACCTCACCTTCCCCACCAGGAAACAAAAAAGAAAGAAGAAAAACTACCTGCTACAAATATGTGTGGTCAAGCAAAATAAATTCTCATCTTGGTTGCATCTGCACCTGCACAAATATACACACGTGTGTTTCAGTCTGTATTCTGAGTACATCCCTTCTCTGTCCAGAGGTTGGTAGATTTTATCATGACTCCTCTGGAATCACGATAAGTCATCTCATTTATTAGAGTTTTTTAAGTCTTTCAAAGTTGACGGTCTTTATAATGTTGTTGTTGTATACATTGTTTTCCTGGTTCTGCTCCATATTCAGCTCAAATTCTTCTGTACCCTGGCTCTCTAAATGCATTGGTCTTCTGTTTTCTCAGCCTCCTCAACTCCTACAATCTCTTTCTCCAATCTACCTCAGTGATGCACAAGAGGAGCCATAACAGACACACACACATCATCATCATCACCATCATCATCATTCCCCACCCCCACCTCATTCAGGTTAATTTGCTCTGGTAGCAGAATTTTGCATTTGGGCTGACAGTTACTATGCTTCAAGTATATTATATGCCATGGAGGCAATGCAGCCTTAAATTGTGCTCAGAGTTGAGGGAAGAGACTTGTACAAATGTTGGAGGGAAAGGAGATTTCTTCTGGGTTTTGTGTTCCTGCCTAAAGACCCCTGGAGCACTAAAGGCCACTTTGACAGTGTCCAGGTATCCCAGAGGTGCCTGATTGTCCAGGAGGCTCCAAAGAACAAGGAGAGAAGACATTGAAATTGTGGTTTGGATGCAGAGACTGACAGCAGAGATATAAGCCCTATTTGGTTGAAGTTTTTGCCCTTCAATTCAGTTTCAGAAGGATTTTAAAAATGTATTCCCTCCAGGGACACTGAATTTGTAGGCTCTCACTTCCCAAACCTCCCAGGAAGAAGGAGGATGCCACATTTAGGCTTGTGTGTCACAGTGACTTTATGAATTTTTTTCTGTTCTAATGATATGTTTTACTGTTCCTTTTGTCATTCTTTGCCCAGGTCAGTTAGTATGGTGAATGACAAACTATCCAGGCCTGTGTTTACTTTCAAGGTTCCTGGTTGTGAACTCGGAGGGAGCTAAAAGAGATTATTGAACTTTAAAAGTCCCCACAAGTTTTCCTGGAGTCTGAATGAGATGATATGGGTGATATTTGCCGGGACTTCCCTGAGGTCCACTGAGGTCCTCAGGACACTTTCCTTATCCTGGTGCCCTTGTTCTAATAGTTAGAGTTATCTGTATTATTTACAGTATTGGGGGGTTCAGGGTATGAGTTGTACAGAGGAAACCTGGGTTTAAATCCCAGCTCAGCTGCTTACTAGATATAGTCACTTCCACCTCTGTGGTCCTTAGTTTCTTCCCTTGTAAAGTGGGGAGGTTGGACCAGCTCTAAATCTCTGGTCCTCTGATCCTGTAAGGCTTAGCTGCCAGAAGAACAGAGATTCATTTAGCACAGACCATGCCAAGATACTAGGCAAGCTTCACTTTATGAACATCTTGTTGGCCAGATGGATATACATATCAATGTAGAGAAAGACCTAGAGATAGATTGAGATGATAGATAAGCAAGAGATATAAATAGAGGTGATATATGTAAATAGATATTGACCTATATATCTATTCATCTATCACCTTTCTATGTCTCTATCTGTTTGTCTGTCTGTCTATATCCTGTCCATATCTGTCTATTTGAACCAGTTTTCCTTTCCTGGAAGTATAGAAGCCATTTCCAGGCCCAAACCAATGCTAATTGACACAGCTAATTTGCCCTGCTCTGTTTCAATGTGGGAGAGGCTGCTCCTCCCTAGGCAACCTGGGAAAGTTGATCTGCCTTAACTCCATTCTCCCAAGTTCAAACAATCCACCAGCCTTAGCCTCCTCTGCAGGAGAGATTACAGGTGTGTGCCACTAAACCTGGCTGATATATGTAATGAAGGCAGAAATATGGCCAAGAATGTGACTAGGTGGGGAGAGACATTGACCTCACCCCCTGGTTTTAGTTTTTTTCCTCTGCCCTTTCCCCTTCATAGCCATTTACACGAGAGATCAAAAGACTTGAATTTGAAACTGAAGCTTCCCAAATTTGGAAAATTTTTAGAAGTTTTCTTGAAGCTTCCAAATGGATGCTGATTGCCTTTCCAACCTGAACACAGAGATGAACACTTTCTCCCCTCGCCCTAGTTAGGTTATTTGGAACTTCACATTATTTCCATCTGTGTGATCAATACCAATAAACTGATTGCTGAGCATCCATAAGCACTTGATCGATTGCTGAGCTCGTCCTGATCAACAAGGGAGGTTTTAATGACTAACTTAGAACCCCAGCCCCTTTCTAGCACACTCTCTTTCTGGGGACAGATGAAGAGAAATCAGAAGTCAAGGCAGCAGTGACTCTGAAGTGCAGCCCCACATACTACTCATTTAAGTGATCAGATAGCCAGTATAGAATGAAACACAAGGGTCACCTCCTCTGGTGTGTAAACAGCATGGACAGCCCCATCCCCTCTCCCAGTTACTTCCACTTGGAATCTTCCTGAGCTGTAACCACAAGTAGTGGGAAATGCACCTTCTGATTGAATAGCAATGTGTATTCTCACTATAATACAAGAAGCAATTAAAATAAATTCCGTTATTGGGAGAGGAATCAGCTTCTTTAGTGATTTGTATGTAGATAGGTGTTGTTAACAATGCAGGTAGTCTTATTTTCACTTATTTTAACTTGTTCTGGCTAACCAGGAATTAAGCTTAGCTTCTTCTGAAGAAAGAGTTGTTCTGTGCCAATGTCTTGAGCTGGTCATATGTCCTAAGGCCATCAGTGTCAGGTAAAAGGAGAACAGAGTTGAAAAAAATTCAACATTACTCTTTTCTCCTCACTTTTGTTCTAGTATGAAAAATATTAGGTGGCTTGCCTCCCTGCCAAAGCCAGCCTACCTTCTTTGGTCTTTGGTATTATTCCCTTGATGACATCCCCTTTCCTTCTTCACATCACAATAACACTCATATTCAATGTCTCCATCTCTCCTGGCTCCTTCTTTAATACCAACAGACATGCACAGGTCTCCCTTATCCCAAAAGAGAGCTTCTTCATTCACTGTTAATTATGTGAAAAAGTCTGTCAATATTCATTGCCTCCATTTCTTCACCGTCTAGACACTCCATAGCTTCAATCTCCTGCAATCTGGCCTTCATCTCCCCACCGCTAAATGAAGAGTGCTGCCTCCAAAGTCACGTAGAACTCTTGATTGAAAAATTCAAGGGTTGTTTCTTACTTGTCACCTTTCTTAATCGGTAAAGCATGGTGGACAGCACAAGACTTGGAGCCTTCAGTGTTTCTAGGCTGAATTTCAAGCTCTTTTTTTGTCTATAAATGTTTAAAATAAAATTTTACTCATCCTTTTTGTTTTTATGTCACTTTCATTTTCCCATTTGTCCTTCCCTCAAATGCCTTCCCTTTAGAACTTCCTTTTCCAGAGAGCAATTCCACATAACAAGGAATAAAAAAAAAAAAAAGAAGAAAAAATTCAGCAAAACAAACCAACACATTGAAAAAGTTTGACATTACATGTAGGATTCCACATTGATCATTCCCTATATCTGCAAAGAAGGGGCAGGTGACTTCTGTCTCTGTTTTGGGACCAGGTTTGGTCATCCTTGCTTTACCTCTGATCTCATTGGAAATATCACCAGCATTTCTTCATTGTATATAATGTATATAATATTGGTTCTTGGTTTTAGACACTCTTAGTCCTATTTCAAAAAGGTCCATTTCTTCTACTGAGCACTCCTAACACGAAAGAGGCAAATGAATGCACTGTCTGTGTGGCCACAGATCTGTCACCCATCTCCCTCAGGTCATTGGACAGAGGATCCTATAGATATCCTTTTCCCACCTGCTGAATAATCCTAGCATGCCATTATCTCCCAGCTCAGATTCTCATTGTTATAATATACTGACCCCTTAAACATTCACCTTTCTTTCTCACAAGTTTATTGTCTGGCTTGCAATCTTTCTCTTCTTCATTGGTATATTGCCACTCTTTCAAAGACTTTAAGTTTCCAATTCCTCAGTCTGCACAGCTCCCATGACCTACTCTTCTACTCCACCTCAGCCACAATACAAAGATGGTCGTATCCTTGATCTTGCCATCACCAATGAGTGTTTCATTACATGATCAAGAATGATGAATTTCCTTTATCTTTTTTTTTTTAGGCAATTGGGGTTAAGTGACCTGCCCAGGGTCACACAGCTAGTAAGTGTCAAATGTTTGGTCTGAGGCTGGATTTGAACTCAGGTCCTCCTGACTTCAGGGCCAGTGCTCTATCCACTGTACCACCTAGCTGCCCCTCCTTTATCTTTCTATCTTACCCTGTGCATTATTATTTTTTTTATTAAGTCTTCTCTTTGTGCCCACTATAACCTGCAATCTCACCATCCACTAGGATTATCTCAGGTCAGACCATCTCTTACAGCTACTTTCTTTCTTCTTCTTTCCCAGTGTTGACTCTTGGAGACTCAGTCCAACTATGTCCTATCCTCTGCACTTGAATCCCTTGCTCACTTATCATCCATCACATCTTGCCAAATACCAACCTTGGATGACTCCCACCATTCACCTTCTCAACTTTTACTCATGTGCAGCTTAGTGGAACTGGAGGAATCATGACACTGGTCTCACTACAAATTTATGCCATCTTAATAACATAAATCTCAACTGGACCCGTACTGCAACAAGATGATCCTACTACTACTCTCTAACCTTAACCCTTTCCTGTTCACTTCGGTAGCTAGGCCAAACCTTTTTTCCCCTTCCAGATTACCATACCACCCTCTCCCCACCTTCTCTACTGGTCTCATACTTTACTTAAAAAAAAAATTGAGGCTATTCACTGAGAGCTTCTTCTTTCACCTTCCTCCTCATCATTCAAATATCTTCCAACTGTCTCCTTCTTCAATTTCTTCTCTGATGATATGGGACCCCTTCCACTTGCCATAGAAAATCCCTCCACATGCACCTTGAGCCCATCATGTCTTTCCTGTCTTCTCCAGCAGGTTGCCCCCATTATTATCCTTCTGCTAATATCCACTCTCTTCCTATCTTCTGGCTCCTTCTCTTCTCCCCTCAAACATGCCCACATCTCCCCCATCCAAAAAACCCCTCACTTGTTCATACAATGCCTGCCAGCTATTGTCCTAATGTTATCCTCCCCTTTGCAGTTCATCTCTTTGAAAAAGCTGGCCACAGTTGTTGCCTTGAATGATTCTCTTCTCATTCTCTTCTAAAACCCTGTAATCTGACCTCATTCCCCTGAAACTGTTCTCTGCATAGTTTCCAGGTAGCTCTTAATTGCTAAATTGAATAGCCTCCTTTACCAGTCTTCATCATCTGACACTTTTGACAACTTTCTCTCCTCTCTGGGTTTGTGTGACTGCTCCCTCTTGATTCTCTATTCCGATAATTCTTCAGGCTCTTTTGCTATATCTTCATCCATGATGTATTCACTTACTGTGGGTGTTTCCCCAAGACCCTCAGCCCTCTTCTTTTTCCCCACATACTCTCTCACTTGATGATCTCATCAACTTCCATGGGTTTGATGACTTTCTTTATGCAAATGATTCTCAGATCTATTTATACAGACCCAGTCTCTCTCCTGAGCTACTGGATGTCATCCTTGCTATGATCCTCTCTCTCTCTCTCTCTCCCTCTCTCTCTCTTTCTCTCTCTCTCTGTCACACACACACACACACACACACACACACACACACACAAACGCACATATATATACCACATAGCCAATCAGTTACCAAATCTTGTAATTTCTGTGTTTTTCACTTATGCCTTTTCCACCAACATAACTAGTATCTTAATTTGGGCCCTCATCACATATCCCTTGGGCTATTATAATTACCTTCTAATTGCTCTCACATCCCAATTCATCCTGCAATCAGCTGCCAAAGTGATTTTCCCACACTGTAGGTCTCATCATGTCAATCCACCCCCTCCCCCCACTGCTCAATAAAGTAGTGTGACTCCCTATTATCTCTAGGGTCAAACATAAGGTCCTTTGATATTTAAAGAAATTCCCTTCCTGGCACTTTTCTGCCTTCCTTGTCTTTTTATACTCTACTCTTCTCTACTCATTCTATGATCTGGCCAAACTGGCCTATTCACCATTCCTCCTTCATGCACTCCCATCTCTCATCTCCCACCTTTGCACTGATTGTTCCCTGTGTCTGGATTGCTTTCCCTCCCAGACTTTGACTCTTGAAATCCCCGAATTCTTTGAAGATTCAGCTCAAGTTCCTGGCTGCTAGTACCATCTCCCATATGACTGCCTTTCATCTACTCTATCATTAGTTTGCATTATCTGATTTATATGTGCTGTCTCCCCAAACAGAATGTGAGTTCCTTAAGGACAGGGACTGTTTTTAATCTTCCTTTGTGTGCCAAGTTACAAGTTAGCACTGTGTCTGGCCCATAGTAGGCTCTTGATACATACTTTTTGATTGGGTGACTGATAATGCATGTTCACTGTTTGTTGAATTAAAGGATATCAAATGAGATTAGCAATAGGATAGATTCCTTGAAATCTGTGTACAGACTAAGGGTCACTCACCAACACATGAGATCCAGGCCTCCTCTCTTGCATTGGATGGTCTCTTCTCCCATGGATCTGATGGACACTGCCAGAAGGAGGTAGATCCCTTAGGACACTGAACACTATTGACCCACATGGTTCTGGAACTTGCCTTGTTTGTAGGAGCAGGGTCAAGAATCCCATTGTCCCCACAGTCTAAATGCCTACAGATCACTCCCACAGTGACTGCAGTCATGTTATATCGGCCAACACTGCCCCAGGTCCCATTGTAGAAGACTTCCAGTCGTCCTGCACAGGCCTGGGTGTTGGTCTCACTCAGCAGCCTCAGAGACATGACCTCTACAAAGAAATGCAGTTAAAGTTTCTTGGAGAATGAAATATTAGGAGATTCCCTCCCTCCACTTCAATGGGGTCCACAGGATAGGTTCCTCCCAGACTCCTTTGGGGTATACTCATCCTGGGATTGCAGAAGAAGTCACCAAGGCCATAACAGTACCAGATCCAAATCCTTCTCCCCAGGGTCCTCAGTGTCTATGTGGCCTGGGGTTAATGTTCAGACAGAAGTTCCTAGATATTGGCTACCCTTGTGTTTGTCATGGGAACCAAAGTCAGCAAGGCTCAGGGTGGGACAGCAATAAGCCACAGGTGTAAGAAAAATAAAACAGATTTCACCTTTTCATTTGCTACTATCATGGCAAAAACTTGTTTGCATATACACAAGGTCAGGAGACGCTTTCATCACAAACATAGAAAATGCATGCAGCATGAGGAGTCTCCTTTACAAAATAGAGTCCACAACTCCTCTACTTACACACACACACCCACACACCCACACACACACAGAGGAGAGGAGAAAGAGGAGGGAGAGAGAGAGAGACAGAGAGAGAAACAGAGACAGAGACGAGAGGAGAGAGAGGGGGGAGAGAGAGAGAGTGCTTGGAGGGCTCTGTTATACCCTGAGCTGCCCCTGCCCCTCACACTCTAGTTTCTATTTGCATTAACCTTGCTGGTAGACCTGCTGCAGAACTTTATCATTGATTAGCCATCAATAATTCTGTGCATTAACCCTAATAGCAAAGATGGGGATTGGAAGAGTGCCCAGAAAGCAGATCCAAGATGTATAATACCTGGACTCTTCACTTTGAGTAGAAGGAAGGCCATTTTTAAGACGGAGTTACTCATGCCAGGGCCCTCTGCATGCCTCCCCACCAACGTATCACCAACTTGACACAGGCATTTCCTAAGGAAACCATCCCTTTTCAGGAACTTGTTACAAGGTTGCACAGATCATTAATGACATTAATGGGAACAGACTTCCTGGTTCTTACTTCAGTATTCTTTGTATTACAGCAGAAAACCCTAAGTGGCCAAGGAGGAGGGAGATAAAGGTGGGAGGCAAATTGATGAAATGCCTCTCGCTACAATGACCATGTGTCAAATGGCCTTTGAATGTGCTTATTTCCTTCTTATATGTTAGCCATATCTACATGTTAATACGTAGGCTATATATGTGTATTCTTACATGTGGGTGTGTTCAACAGATAGATAGATAGATAGATAGTTACAGATATATAGAGAGACACACATGTATACTTGTCTGTCACATGTGTTTATGTGGCTGTGTGTAAAGCCATATTCAGTATTATGAAGAAAAGACCACCAAGAAAATGGCCCAACCCTTCTACACATACCTCTGCTGACATCTCTTCCCATCTTCTCCCTATAATCATCTCCTCTCTCTCCTTTATACCCTCTCAACTACTCAGTATAGAGGCATATGAGGTGGTATGGGTGATAGACTGCTGAGCTTGGTGTCAGGAAGACCTAAGTTCAAGTCTGACCTCAGCTACATACTAGCTGGGTGATGCTGGGCCAGTCACTTGACCTCTGTTTGACTCAATTTTCTCAGCTGTAAAATGAGGGTAATAATAGCACCTAGCTCACAAGGCTGTTGTAAGGATCAAATGAAAAGGTGTTAGTAAAAAGAAAAAAAAGTGCTTAGAATAGTTTCTGACACATAGTAGGTGCTATCTAAATGTTTATTCCCTTCCCCCAATATCTCCTTTATCTCTAGTTCCATTCCTATTGCCTACAATCTTACCCACGTCTACTTCATCTTTTAAAAAGAATTCTCTTTAGACCCTAAAATGCCTTTCAGGTGTCATCCTGTATCTCATCTCACTTTCCTTTGTCAGTCACATTCCTGGAGAAGCCTATCATCTACACTTGTTATCTCTGCTTCCTCCCTTCTTAGCACTTTGCAGTCTGGCTTGGACCTCATCAGTCCCTGAAGTGGTCACTGAGCTCTTCACCACCAGACATGGCAGCCTCTTCTTAACCCTCTTTCTTCCCACACTTCTCTACCTCAGTTGGTGCTGTTGACCCAGATACTTCTTTCTTTCTGGGTTTTTGTGACACTCCCTTCACTTGGTTTTTCTTCTATCTGTCCAACCCCTCATTCTCAGTGTCCTTTGACAGAAAATCATCCATCATATGACTCCTAATTTATTAATCACTTGTGATGCAGACTAACTCTTCTTTCTTTTTTTTTCCTTTTAATTTACTGCTTTATATACTTGCAGGAAATTGCTCACAAAGAGACCTAATTTGCCCCACAAAAATTTTCTCTGTGAGGTAACTGGTGCTGTTATTTTCCCAACAACTACCAAATATCTCTGAATTCAGTCTTCCCCAGTTTTCGGATTCTAAGTTCTTTTCATATAGATGAATGGGAAGTCATCAAGAAAAGGACACTGAGAACCATTATTTGGACAGATAGGAGAAAATTCAAGAGGGAAAGGAGTGTTGCACAAACCCAGAAAGAAGCAGCATTGGCAAAGCTCATTCCTGTTCTATTCATTTGCCTGAGAGGGGATTGTCAGTACTCACTTACCAAAATTTGAGTCAGTCCACCCACTCTGCCCCTTGCTCATATAGGTATTTAAGTGGTAGAGCCCGTATGTGGTAGTTCCATTGCAATGATAAAAATAGATTGTTATTGAAAAACTGAAAAATCTGTTTCATTTCAAATGTAGTTGTTGCTCTCCACTTATGAATAGGCATGGGAGGTTCTGTTCTCCCCTCTACTTCCCTTCTTTGTCCACTGTAGTATATTTTGCTTGCTTTTTTAAACCTAAACATTTCCTTTATCCCAATTTTGGTCTCAACCACAAAGACAGCAGAGGTTAGCTAAAGATAAACATAAAATTATATAAGTATGTATTATTATATATAAGTATAAATATATATATATATGGTGATTAAAGTAAAGGATTTATTGTAATCTGCTTACAGTCATTTGCAAAGACAGACATAAGTTTTTGCATAAAGATATAAATTGATTTTTTAAAACTAATTTAGTGTGTTTTTAATTTAGTTTTAATTTAATTCAGTTATTAACTGAAACAAGAAGTTTCAGTGAATTATGAATTATACCAAACCAAGATTTTTAAGAGCAATATGGTACAAAAATAAGAGCCAGAATGCCAAACCTCAGTCTTGATGGTAGGAATTTTCCTAACTAGGAACCAATAGCTATTGAAGTAATACTCCTAAGTTTTCATCTGCTGTTAAGTCATTTTTCAGCTGTGTCTGACTCTCCATGACCCCATTTGGGGTTTTCTAGGCAGAAATACTAGAGTGGTTTGCCATTTCCTTCTCCATCTCACTGTACAGATGAGGAAACTGAAGCAAACAGGGTTAAGTGTTTTGCCCAGGGTCACACAGCTAATAAGGTCTGGGGCTACATTTGAACTCTTGAAGGTGAATCTTTCTGGTTCCAAGCCCAGTGCTCTATCCATTGTGCCACCCAGATGCTGCACTTTCATCTGATATGAACAGTCAGCAGAAAAGGGCACCTCCTGGACCTGAGGAGCTGTTGTAGTAAGCTATATACCCCAAAGACAGCTAATTGTAACAGGATCTGGTTGATCACATCTCCACAGAGAAGAGAGGACAGGGAGGAGAGCCCTGTGTTGCCATTGCAGTGACACCTGCCCCCACAAATGTCATGTTCTAATATCATGTTACTTCCGGGTCACCTATAAACAATTGTTGCATTGCATTTTAAAAATGCAGGACCTCACTTTCTGACAAAGCTTTTGAGGCTCAGCCCTTTGTCTACCTTTACAATAAAATTATAGAATATTCAGGTTTACATTGACATGGTTTGGAGGATTTGGTATTTTGTCAGATGATTTTTCTACTTCATCCTCCGCAATTGATTTCAGAGTGGAGAGCTGTGAGTGTCTTCATGATGGTCAGTTTGCTTGCACTTTGAAGCCCTGCATATTTGCCTGAGAACCAAGGGTCCCATGACATTATGGCTCTTCTCACCTCATGGCCCTGGATAAAGTTCATTCTGGACATTCCTTAAGTGTGAGTGGACCTTCTATGTCACTACAGCTTCTTTTGTGTCTTCTGATTGAATTCCCAGTGAGAATGTCAATGTGGATGGAGTCTAGATGCTCTGGGAGTGTTTGGAGTCTTTGGCTATCAGACAAAGATCTTACACTTGGCTAAATCAATGATCATGATATAGTTGAGATAGATAGTCCAAAGTCTGTGTGATTCTTAGTCCCCTATGGTCCCTTTCCTATAATTCTGCACCATCGCTGCAGAACCTAAGTGGTACTTGAACAGACTGAAATCCATCAACTGGAAAAGAAAATTTCAATATGTAAATATCTCTGGTTTCCTCTGTTGAAAAAACAGAAGATCTTTCCTTTTCCTAACTTTGTTGGATCACCATAACCATCCCATGGTTACATTTACATTTTAGCTCATTCTTTGAAGATTTTATATTTGCACAAAAAGTTTTGGTGTAATTGTTAAATGGTCAAAGACATGAACCAGAAGTTTTCAAATGAAGAAATCAAAGCTATATATAGTCAGATGAAAAAATGCTCTAAATCACTATTGATTAGAGAAATGCAAATTAAAACAACTCTGAGGTACCACATCACACCTATCAGATTGGCTAATATGACAAAGGAAAATGATAAATGTTGGAGGGGATGTGGGAAAATTGGGATACTAATGCACTGTTGTAGTTGTGAACTGATCCAACAATTCTGGAGAGCAGTTTGGAACTATGCCCAAAGGGCTATAAAACTGTGCATACCCTTTGACCCAGCAATACCACTGCTAGGTCTGTATCCCAAAGAGATAAGAAAAGCTGGGGGGAGAGGATCTATTTGAACAAAAATATCTATAGTGACTCTTTTTGTGGTCACAAAGAATTGGAAATTGAGGGGATGCCCATCAACTGGGGAATGGCTGAACAAGTTGTGGTATGTGATTGTAATGGAAAATTATTGTGCTATAAGAAATGACAAGCAGAATGATTTCAGAAAAACCTGGAAAAATGTACATGAACTGATGAAAGTGAAGAGAGCAGAACTAGGAAAACATTGTAGCAGACAGTTACAATGTACTGTTAGATAATAACTGTACTGTTAAACAGTAATAGAAATATTGTATGATGATCAGAGGTGAATGACTTAGATATTCTTAGCAACATAGTGATCCAAGACAATCCCAAAGGATTCATGATGAAAAATGCTATCTACCTCCAGAGAAAGAATGGATGTTGTCTGAATACAGACTCAAGGATACTATTTTTCTCTTTCTTTTTCCTTCCTTCTTTCCTGTCTGTTTTCTTGCACAAAATGACTAATATGGAAATGTTTTACATAATTGCACATGTATAACTTACATCAGATTGCTTACCATTTCAGAGAGGGGGATAGGAGAGGGAAGGAGGGATAGAATTTGGAACTCAAAACTTTAAAACAATTGTTTTTACATGTAATTGGGGGAAAACAAAACATTATTTTAAAAAATGCTTTGGTGTCTCATATCTTTTATAAAGCACATTTCTTGAATTTGATCCTGCTACCTAAAAAAGTCAGTGACCCTGAGCCACTAAACAATTTAGTACAGGCAAGGCAAACCTATATTCCAAGGACTCTTTGTGCCACTCAGGACACCCCTGTCTGGACAGCCCTATGTTGACCTCACCCAAGACCTTCTCTCAGGTGATTCTCACTCACTTGCCTTCATCCTCCCTCAGTCCCTTCCCCTTTAATAGGATATTTAATAGGTAAATTCAGAACAGACCTGAGCAGAGCACCCCTGCATCTTCCTTGTGCCTGCATTCATGCTGTCCCCAGTTTCTTGAGGGACATTGCCACACACTGGATTCATTCCCGGAGCAGTTCATATCATCCAACCAGATGGGCCCAGTTCCTGCTCCAAAATGAGCACAGATGGTGGCATTGAGGGCCACTCCACAGTTAAGCTGTCTGCATACCACCTGGGCATCATTTAGGTCCCAGGAGTCATCACAGATGGTGCCCCAGGCACCCTCATGGTAGACCTCAACTCTTCCAGCACAGCGATCTCCACCATTCACAAGGTTGATCTGCCTCAGCCCTACGGGGAGAAATGTCTGTTGAGAAGCAGTCCGGTCCAAGCCTTTTGTAAGTGGTGACAGTGCACAAGGCATTAGGATTTGTGCTGATAATAACAAGTTAAAAAACAAAGCTGCCTTGAAGGAGTTTCTCTTCTACTGAGGGAAATACAGCAGGCCACCCGATAATAAGTCAGATACTGGGGGTCAAAATTAGGGGTTCTGTCCAAGGTAGTATGAGACATCTGCTTCAAGAGAAGCTTAGAGATTGTAAGAGGTGAAGGTGATAAAGTAGAACATTCCAGGTTTGGGCCAGCTTGGGAAAAGGCGTGAAGGCCTGAAGATGTAGGACCCATGAAGGGAAGTGAGAAATGGTAGGCAGGACCTGGCAGCTTCAGAAAGGCTTGACCTTAAGTCTAGCTGAGGAGGTTGTTTTTTATCCTGATGGCTCCACTGGGAACCATGCAGGATTTTTGAGCAGGGAAGTGAAAGGGTCAAGTCTGTGCCTTAGGAAGATGATTTTGGCAGCTGGGTGGAGGATGTGCTGGGGAGGGGAAAGACAGGAAGCGACTTGAATCCAAGTGAGAAGTGACGAATGAGCCTGAGCTAAGGAAGTTGCCATCATGAATGGAAAGAAGAGGACAGAAGTGAGTGAATGGAAAGCCTGCCAAACTCAGCAACTGTTTGGCTATGAAGAGGACTAGGGCCAGGAGCAGCCTGAGGAGACAGAGGGGGAGTTGGAGGTTGTGCAACTGGGTGCTTAGCAACCTAGGCTGCACTAGCAAAAACTGAAGTTTCCTGGTGCTGCTTGAAATTCTCACCTGAGCATGAAGGTGACTGAGCCTGGGCACCTTGGCACTGGAACTGAGCATCCCAATGATTTCCTGCAAACACAAATCCTTTCAGCTCCATTTGCACATACAGGGGAGGAGAAGGCAGATGATCGTGTGTGTGTGTGTGTGTGTGTGTGTGTGTGTGTGTGTGTGTGTGTGTAGGGCTAGATGGGGTGGCTGCATTAGATATAGAGGAAGGTCCAGCCCCAAAGGCAAGTCCTTGTCCTCTGGGGTCCCTCTACTTGTTCTTGAGACTCCTTCCCATGGAATTCCTTGACTACATAGACTCTTCTCAGATTTGCCTGCTCTCAGGGACAGGTCTCTCAGGAAGGATACCTGGTGTCCCTCTGCTCCTGGACCCCAAATGGAAGGTTCTCTTCTCTTACCTGAGCAGTTCACAGAAGCAATATTTGCAGGGGAACAAAGTGGGGCTCCCAAGGCAGTCATTGGACAAGTCTCCAGGTGAGGCTCAGTCCCTGAGCAATGAAATGTGTGCCTCCATACAGGACCTCTTGCTTTTCCAAAATACTCTCCTGTGGGGACTGAGACAGCGACTCCACAGTCAAGCTGCTTGCAGAGAACATTGGCATTGGCCAGATCCCAGTGGGAGCTGCAGAGGGCTCCCCAGACTCCCTGGACCTGGACCTCGACACGCCCCTCACACCTGGAGCCACCATCCACCAGCTGGAAGTCTCTGTACCCTGGGGAGAAGATGGAACTTTAGAGAAGAGCCCATGGCCCTGGAAGCCAGGGTAGAGAGCAGGCAATTTGTTCTCTGACTCTCACTTGAACAGATGATGCCAATGGTCCCATCAGAACTGCATTTCCTACTGTGAATGGGCACTGTAGGGCACAAGGTGACATGGGACTCATTGCCTTGACACTGTAGCTCCTCAGGCAGGACCTGGCCACCTCCTTCTCCAAAGTGAGCCCCGTCCAGGACGGAGACAAGGGTGCCACACTGCAGCTCCCGGCACAACACACTGCCCGTCTGCAGAGGAAAGTCAGGACTGCAGACAGACACCCAGCCGCCTTGGTGCTTCACTTCCACTCTCCCAGAGCAGGCAAAGTCTCCTCCTCTCAGTCGTGGCTGCATGTGATCTGTGAGACAAGAAACCTCCAGTAAAGACCTCAGTCCCCCTTAGCCTGCGTTGCTAGGGAAAAGCACACATCTTTTTCTTGCCCCCTGCCCCGATCTTCCAAGCCTGGTGGGCTTGGGCCAGGAACTTCCCTCCCCACTTCTCCCCAGCCCACCCAAGTTGCTGCTACCCTGAGAGCAATGCCTCTGAGAGCCAGTGAAGCCTGTGCTTTTCACTGATGCCTTCCTTGAAAGCCCATTTCTTCTACACGCATTCATCGAGCACCCTCTGCATCCAAGACATTGTGGAGAACACACGACTTGAGACCTCAAGGCTCTGACTATCCTGTAGACTTTGATGCCAATTGTACCAAACACAGGACCCCTAACACAGGAAATCTCTTGGAATGGAAGAATCAATAAAAAAATAGACTAATTTGCTATTGCCAACTAGGTAAATTATGAATTCCTTTTCCCAACTCTGAAGGCACTACACAGGCTGGTTCCCTCCCTCCCGCCATATTTTAATTGTAACAAGTATAGTAATAATAATTGTCAGCATTGGTTTGCATAGGATATCTAACTTGATCCTTACAGCAAACTCTGTGCAGTAGGAGATATTATTACTACTATTTTACAGAGAAGGAAACTGAGATAGAGAGGAATGAAATGACTTGTCAGAGTCACACAGCTATTCAGTATCTGCAGTCAGGTATGAGCATAGCCCACCTTCACTCCATGTCCAGCCTCCCAGCCACCATCTGGTGATGTCTGAATGGATCCATCCACCAATCTTCAGTTGCCAAGGTGATCAGTAGGTTTGAGTGTTTAGGGACTAAACCTAGTTCTTGGTCCAAAGGGGGACTTACTGGCCATCCTGCCCAGTCAGAAGTGCTGGTTAACCCTTGTTAGGCACAATTACAGGCCAGCACATGTGGACTGTCTGTCTTCTGCCTCTTTTCCTTTGGTGACAGGTAGTTTATACTAAGTACACCTTGGTAATAACAGTAGTCACAATAATGGGCATTTAAGTAGCATTAAGTAGCATGATCTAGATATGCACACTCCCATTGGAACCTCAGAACAATCCTGTGGTACTACAGGAATTATTACTTTAATTTTACAGTTGAGAAAATTGAGGCTGAGAGAATTAACATGACTGTATTTCGACCTACTTTATCTATCTGTCTGTCTATCTATCTGTCTGTCTGTCTATCTATCTATCCATCCACCCATCCATCTATCATCTCTCTATCTATCTGTCTGTCTATCTTTCTACCTACCTACCTACCTACCTAGCCATCTCTCTATTCATGGCTTTGAGACATCCTGTACCCAAATAATTTCCATATTTCTTGTGATTTTCTATATACAACTGTATTCTCTCATTGTGTACTAGTATAACTTAATGTTTGATCTCTAACCCTAACCCACTAGGCTGCCCAGAACAAATAGATGAAGGAGTACCATTCCTAATAGTTAAGAGTTTTGTGAACATACTGCAAATAGGCCTTAGCAAGTGACCCTCCCCTCTTAGACAAGAGATGAGGACTAGTTATTGCTGTCTTCATGACCAATCCTTTCTTTAGTGAGATTACAAAAGGATGCACAGCAGAGGGAACCAAGTTATTCATCCTTGTTTTGAAGAGTTGGACATATCTGTGCCCTACATCAGAGTCCAGAGGTCCAGGGTTACCTCAGTAACCTTTTTCTACCATCCCCATTAAATGAGTCAATCCTTGTGATGACTATGCCATGAAGTTCCTGTCCCCCAAAACTCAAAGAACCTGGACCAGTCTCCTGGACCAATACCACTGATGGCTCCTATTCCTCATTGATGGAACTGTTTTGACCAAGGCTCAGGACCAATGGAGGTAGAAGGTATTTTTCTGTGGTCATCAGTTCAGTGTAGCTCCCTCAAGTCTTCATTAAGCACCCAAGCCCCTGTCTTTCCTCTGACTTGCTAGGTACTGTTGACCAGGAATTCTAAAGGTCTGCATCAGTCATAGAGTTGGTCTTCAGGATGCCTAAAAATCAATGATTATTGCACAAAATGAAACTAGTCCTATTCACATATTATTGGAACTTATGGAGTGAGTTTTGAAATATACCTGGAAGAGGTCCATCAGAAGCACTGACCAGAAAATGAAGGCATGTCCTTGTGGAAGGCACTGGCATTGCCACTGAATGCCTACATGCCTGCATTACTGACATTGGGTGTGGAAGTCTGTGAATGGGAGGGGGTGTCTCTGCCAGGGGACCTGATACTTCTCTCTTGGGGGACCTCTCTATAAGTCTCTGTACCTGAGTGCCTCCAGCCTCCCTTTCTGGGGATGGGGGAGGATCTATTTCTCTGGGTGACTGGAAATGGAGCAAGTTGGAGGAAATGAGGCCAAGTGAGGCAAAGGCTGAGGAATGGGCAGGGTTAGTTGTGTCCTGACATATTGGTACTGAATCTTGCTAATTGTGAAGCCATTCCAAAGAGTAGTGCAAACACAACTCCTTCCTCCACATGTGGAGGGCAGGATAGAGGGAAAGAGAAGGTCTGCTTGGCAAAATGGTCTTGCCATGGGAAGAAAAGTCTGGGGTTTGTAATTTGAGCCTGATTGGGTCCCAGGTGCCTAGGACTGTGTTGAGACCAGGAACTCAGAGATAGGATGTTTGCTACACACACACACACACACACACACACACACACACTTCTCTTTTACTAAATGACTTCCTCCAAGCCCTTAACGACTCACAGCCTAGCTAATATCTCTGCGTATGTAAGATTAATGACTCAGGCTTGTTCTGTTGCTAGAGCCATCAAGAAGGTGATGACTATGGGGCAGGGGCTGAAAGACAAGGTACAGGACCAGGGGAAAGATGATCCAGAGATTATTCAGAATTGCTCAGAATCAGGATGATTGGGATAAGCTGAGATCCTGGGAAGAACCTTGCCCCAGTGGCCAATGGAAGCCTCAAATCCTTACTGACTGCATTGTTAGGAGCCAGATTCCTCCTGTGGGAATGGTCTCTGAGATCAATACTCACCTGAGCAAATGACAGCAGCCTTTTCATCCGCATGACAGGAAATCTTTCCCCATTCCCAATTCCCACAATCCCAAAAAGATTCCTCTTTTCCATAGCATTTGATTCCACTGATCCAGATGTGCTCAGGGACGTCTTCAAAATTGTAGTCCAAGGGGATGCTGACTGCAACTCCACAGCCCAGCTGCCTGCAAACCACCGTGGCTTCATCCAGTGACCAACTTCTTCTGCACACAACTCCCACCTCCTCACCGACTCTCACCTCTACTACCCCTGCACATTGGCTGCTTCCCCCAAGAAGCCTCAGCTTCAGGGCAGATGGGTCTGTAAAAGAGACCGGAATTTCAGTCATTGGCTAGCCATGAGACATGCCTTGACCATGAGGGAGCCAGTCCCTGCAGAATATGCAAAACCCTGCCACCCTGACCCTGGGGACCTCAGCTGGTCTGTTGGCCATGTCTACTGCTCCTCCATCACAGTGAGGCATCAGAAACACCACACTCTTCCAACAACTTGGGGTACAGAACTATTTTTGGAGGAAATGATCAGGTGATATTGAGAACTCCTTATTGTCATGGTTGGCATACTGGCTTCTATCACTTGAGGGCTTAGTAGATCCCATATAACTTTTGAGGGAGAGGTTTCTGCTGATGAATGGGAATGAAAATATTTATTCAATATCTTTTTATAATATTGGATTACTTAAAAAATCTATTTCATCTGTTCTCAATCTGTACACTTTATATTTTTGTTAAACATTCATCATTTTCCTCTGAGTTATTAGTTTTGTTAGCATATAGTAGGGAAATAATTTTTCATAATTTCTTTTATTTTTTCTTCAATTATGATGAATTCATCTTTTTATTTTTGTATAAACAATTTGACTTTTACCTCTTTTAAAAATCAGATTACCTAACTATTTATTTATTTTAAAGGTTTTTTTTTAAAAGAACCTCACTTTTATTTATAAACTTAAAGTGGTTTTTTTAAATTTTATTAACTCTTTTCTGGTTTTCAGGATTTCTAAAATTTTTAATTGGAGAATTTGTTTAATTCTGGATTTGTTTTCTCATTTTTTAAAAAAGTGCACGTCCAGTTCATTGATTTGTTCTTCCTCTCTTTTGAGAGGAAGATAAAAACATTGAGAGATTTAAATTTTCTCCTAAGGATTTAGCCTCATACCACAGTTGTCTCATCACACGATTGTTTCATCATTGTCATTTTCTTTAATGCAGTTTTCTATTGTTTCTGTATTATGTTCTTTGTCCCACCAGATTTTTAGAATTATTTAGTCTTCAGCTATTTTAAATGCTTTCTTTGAAAGTCATTCATTGTGAATATTTTTTTTTATTTCATTGTGATTAGTAATATATATCCTTAGTATATCTCCTCTCCCATACATAGTCATTTTTGGTAGCAATGTCATGTACAGTTGAGTGTATTTACATTCATTTCTATTGCCATTCAGTAATCACAATAGATATCTCCTCTCTAAATTTCATAGTTTATTAAGATCCAGAACTTTTCTTTTTTATCTCTTGGTTAAATTTGTCTAGGTTTAAAGGAACTACATTGAAGTTCTTTAATAGACATAGGAGCAGACAAAACATGTTTGTGTTTCACTCTAACCCCAGTTCTAGGGAAGCAAACAGTCCATTTACCAAGGGCATTATTTTATGAGTGTTTGCTAGATTTATAGATGCCACATCACTCAGCCTGAAAAGAAGGAGGAATAAATTTCCTGTTACTTTCCAGAGCAGAAGTTGGTAAACATCATCAAAATAGTCCACAAATAGAATTAACGTTGCAATGCTGTGCATATGATATACTGTATTGAAAAATTAATTGACTGTACTTTATGTCTCTACTGCTGTCTCAGTCTGGAACTTCCTTTGGTACCCAGGACCTCCTTGCCCTGGAATATCCTACTGTCCCCTTTGGCGTGGTCACTCTGGAATCTCTCTCTGCAAGGTCCACCCCTTGTCTCCCATTGGTGAGCTCCACCTGGAGCTTCTGTTTTGTGAAGGACCCCAGGCTTGCCTGCATTCTTTCCCCTCCTGGCCTTTTTCCTGACTTTCTGGATTTCAAAATCATGTTCCTGCAATGGATACATTTATCTCTCTCTTCCTTTTTTTTTTTTTTACTTTCCTTTTGTATGTTGTTTTTTCCCCCCATTAGAATGGAAGCTTCCTGAGGGCAGGGCTCTCTTTCTTTTTTCTTGTAATTATATCTTAAGCACTTAGCACCATGCCTGGCAATTTAATAAATGCTTGTTTCTTCCTTCTTTCCTTTCTTCCTACAATCTGTCCATCCTTCCTTTGTTCCCTTCTTTCTTCTCTTCCTTCTTTCTCTCATTTCCTTGATATGACTGTTTCATTTTTGTCTCTGTGTCACTCACATCTTATTTAACTCAGAAAAACAAAGCACGATTTTAAAGGCAATCGTCCAAGGAGAGGTTTCAGAAATCAGTGACGTGGGTAATTGTCTTGATCCTGGCTTCCAGCTCACCATTGGTTTGCAGGTACAAGTTTTACTGAAGAATTTATGGATAAAGATAGATGTTAACAGTCTCTAAATGACCCCAAGTAGTCATAGTTACTTATCTTCTCTCTCCCTGTCAGTTCTGAGACTTTAGGATTTGACAGTGTGCATGAAGAGAGCTATACACCAATCAAAAATTCCAAGAGCTGAGGGACTCACCCTCTTTGGGGTGGTAGTAGTGGCTTAAATAGGGTCTCTAGACCAAGATATATGTGCAAAGTAAAAGGCAGAATGTTTAAGTGGGCAATGATCCCACAGAGGGTTGTAAGAGTTCCTCATCTCCTGTCTCCATGCCTTTGTACAAATTGTCCTCCATGACCTCAATGCACTTTCTTCTCACCCTCAAGCACTATCTCTTCCACATGGCCTCTCCTTGTCTCTTTGGATGCCACTGCTGCTCCCCTAAATGATTTTGTACCTACATAAACATGTACACATTTTCTGTCAGCCAAATATAAGTTTCTCAGGGTCAGGACTCTTTCGTTTTCATCTTAGCAACCCTGGTACCTCATGCAGCCCATTGCCATATAGAAAGAGCAAGGGATTAGCAGATGGACAGACTCCATGATGTACCCCCAGAAGGTGAGGTGGTTTAGAGGAAGGTCTACATAGAGTGCTGATCTAACAAGAATGTGTACAAGGCCTTGGACAGGAATCACACAGGATGGAAAGGTGTGAATGGATTGGTAACTGCCCTGATGGAGGGACCATCTCTATGGTGGAATTATCCTAGGCACCTACCATAATGTCTTGCACAAAATAGCTGCTTAATATTTGTTAAGTTATTGATATGAATACTGTGATGTCCATTTTGATATTTAAAGACATCTCAATCATATCTTTATACTCTAACCCTTTGTCTCAGCTCATGAATTATGTGTTTCTTTTGATATCTTGAGTCCACAACCTTGGGGCAGGTAAGTGACACAGTGGACAGAACACTGGGTCTTGACTCAGGAAGACCTGAATTCAAATCCAGCCTCAGAAATTTGCTATCTGTGGGACCCTGAGCAAGTCACTGAATCTCTTTATGCTTTAATTAAATCAAGTTTAAAAAAAAAAACAACCTCCCAAGGCAGTTGTGAGGATGGAATAAGATCATATTTGTAAAGTGTTTAATACAGTGCCTTGCACAGAGTAAACACTTGCTAAGAAGGAACAAATCATCTCCCAATGATTTTTCCCCCAAACAGCTCACCTTCCTTCTAGGAGGTGCCCCTGAACTGGGGCCTTACCTGAACACATCACTCCAACATCCTCATTGTGTCCACAGTCATGGTTTTTCCATCCTCTATGTTTGCAGTCCCAGAGAGCTGACTCGTTCCCATTGCAGGAAATGTCATCAAACCAGATGTGTTCAATGTCATCACTAGCATTAACCCTAAGCAAGGCATTCATAGCAGAGGGACACCCTGCTTGTCTGCACACCACAGCCCCAGCATTCTTGTTCCAGTTGTCATCACAGACTGTCCCCCACTGGTTATTTACTCTCATCTCCACTCGCCCTGAACAGGTGCTTGTTCCACTCCCTAGTCTCAGGGCCAGATCTGCTCCCTCTGCAACAGAGATGCACAAACATGTCAATGATGGGGAAAGTTTGGAGGCAGAAGTGAATGGACCAGTTCTATTGAGGAAAAGGACCTAAGATGAAGAGAAGGACCAGGTGAGAAGCATAAGAGAGAGGCAAAGTGAATTAGGCCTTGACTCGTTGGTTTATGGTTTTTCAGAAAAGGAGTAGTCTTTCACCCAAGTATAGTGGGAGGCCACATCATCACATGAGTAAGGTCAAAGGTCAAAGAGAGTTGTCCTGGAGTCTCTGAATATCATACTTCTGTTCTGACTAACTTTCTCCCATGAATCAATCTCCTTGTTCCAGACTGCATTTCATTTTAAGTGCCACAAATCTATTATCTGGAAATTTGTGTTTCGATAAAGCAAAAGTTTCTAACCATGTTTGTGTCATGGGCCCCTGGCCATCAGTCTACTGAAGGCAATGGGACCCTTTTCAGAATCATGTTTTAAATGCATAAAATAAAATAATAGTATCACAAAAGAAGCCCATTATCTTAAATGGTTATCAAAATATTTATATCACCAAGTTCCTGCACCCTGGTAAAGAAGCCCAGTATTAACAGAATCCTGGTATAGAAAAATGTGCCTTGATCAGAAACAAGTGAATTCAGTAGGCCAATAAACAAATATGTAAAATACTTGACAAGAACGGATGGGAAAATAGGAAGAGTTTAAAACAGACAGACAGATAGATAGAAAGAGAGATAGACAGACAGACAGACAGACAGATAGATAGATAGGTAGGTAGATTGAGATCAGCATATAGCATAAGTTTCAAATGTATACATAGCCTAGTCAATCAATTAATAAACATTGAATAGGTTCTTCCAACGTTAAAGGAACTATACTCGTCTCTGGGCTTACAAATAAAATAAGGAGTCATTTCCCTCAAGAAAATGACAGTACATCGATAAAAGACATGTACACATATAAATATGTAGAAGGTAATGTGAGGGGTTGGGATGCACTAGTAGTTTGAAATGATAAAAATTAGAACAAAAAGGAAGAAATTACCTTTTATAGCCTTAGCTAGGGGTAGAATTCTTAGTGAAAAAAGAGATAGAGGAGATTACGAAAGACAGTACATGGATTCAATTATGTGAAATTAAGCTTTTCCATGAACACAATCAATACAGTGCTAATTAGAAGTAAAATATTAATTTGAGGAATTTTATTTTTGTATCTCATCTCTTTGACTAAGGTCTGATGGCCAATAGATAAAGGGAATTAACATATATATGCATACATATATAGATACACACACACACACACATATATATACATATGGATACCTACATATATATTCATATATAGCCAATAAATGGAGAAGGAACATAGAAAAACAATCCTCAAAAGAAGAATTACAAATATGAAAGAATATTCCAAACCACTAATTATAAGAGAAACTCAATCAACAACTCTGAGATTTTACTGCACACCCAGAACACTGGCAAAAATGTCAAAAAATATGATTCATCCATGTTGGAGGGGCTGTGGAAACAGTAATGGACTACTGGAAGATCTGTGAATTGGTCTAACCAGTCTGGAAAACAACACAGAATTACACAAAGAAAGTGACTACCATGCCCATATCCTTTGACTCAAAAGAGTCCACAGTTCAGCATATAAAGGAGGTCAATGACAAAAACAAAAAAGGCTTTCATAAAAACTAAAATATTTATGGCAGCACATTTTGTAGTATTTTGCAGTGAGAGAAGCCCAGAAAGTGATGAATGATTATCAGGTGGGAAGCTAAATGAGTTGTAGTACATCAGAGAAATGTAATCTTACTGTACTGTAAGACCTGTCTGTATACTCAGTTCATGGGGGAAAGTGAGAATGGAAGAATTCAG